ATCAATGACCTTCGTTTCCAGTTACGTATTGTAGACTGAAAGCACTATTGGTAGGCCGACACTGTTGGTAGACTGGCACTAATGGTAGACTGACACTATTGGTAGACTGACACTATTGAAGTGAACTGACACTGCTGGTAGACTGACACACTAATGGTGGGCCCAGCACTATTGTTGAGCCCGAGCACTGTTGGTGAACCCAGCACTGTTGGTGGGCGAAGCACTAATGGTGAACCCAGCACTGACAGGCGGGCCCGGCACTGTGGTAGACCCCAACTGTGGTTGGCCCCTGACTTTATTTGGTAGACTGACACTATTGGTGAAGTGACACTAATGAGTAGACTGACATATTTGGTAGACTGACACTTGGTGAGACTGACACTATTGGTAGACTGACACTAATGGTAGACTGACACTATTAGTGGGCTATTTTGGCCAGTGAACTGACACTATTAATTAAGACGTACTATTGGTAGAGTGACACTAATGGTGAACTGACACTATTCGTAGACTGACGCTAATGGTGAAGTGACATAATGGTAGACTGACACTGTTTGAGAATGACACTATTGGTGAGCTGATGCTATTGGATGGTGACACTAATGGTAGACTGGCACTATTGGTGAACTGACGCAGTATTACGGTAGACTGACACTATTGGTGAGACTGACACTAATGGTGAAGGTGAACTTCAATGGTAGATGACACTATTGGTAGAGTGACACTAATGGTGAATTATTGATAGACTGACACTAATGGGCAGAGTGAGCACCAATGGTAGACTGACACTATTAGTGAATGACACTATTGGTGAAGACTGACACTATTGGTAGACTGACACTGTGGTAGAGTGACACTAATGGTGACACTAATGGTGGAAGTATTGACACTAATGGTAGACTAGTACTATTGGTGAGTGACACTAATGGTAGACTGACACTATTGGTAGACTGACACTATTGGTAGACTAAGCACTATTTAATTTGGTGACACTATTGGTAGAGATGGCTAATGGTAGACTGACACTATTGGTGAATGACACTATTGGTGAGCTGACACTATTGGTAGACTGACACTATTGGTGAACTGACACTATTGTTGAATGACACTGTTGATGACACTATTAGGTAAGACTGACGCTATTAGTGAAATTGACACTAATGGTAGACTGACTATATTAAGTGAACTGGCTAAAATAATTAAGTGAGCACTAATGACACTATTAGGTAGACTGACACTGTTAATGAATGACACTATTAAGAGTGACATAATGGTAGACTGACACTATTGGTGAACTGACACTATTGGTAGACTATTTTAGTAAGTGGGCTGAGCACTATTGGTGGACAGCACTGGTGGTGAATGGTAGACTGACACTATTGACGGTGGTACTGTGGTGAAGTGACACTGTGGTAGACTGACACTGTTGGTGAATGGCACTGTTGTTGGACTGGCACTGTTGGTAGACTGGCACTGTTGGTGAGAGTGACACTGTTGGTGGGCTGACACTGTTGGTGGGCTGATACTGTTGGGTGGGCTTGTTGCACTATTGGTGGGCTGACGCTGTTGGTGACTGACACTGTTGGTGGGTGACACTGTTGGTGGCTGACACTGTTGGTAGACTGACACTGTTGGTGGACTGTTACTGTTGGTAGACTGACACTGTTGGTAGACTGACTGTTGGTGGGCTGACACTGTTGGTGAGCTGACACTATTGGTGGGCTGACACTATTGGTAGGCTGACACTGTTGGTAGACTGACACTATTGGTAGGTGACGCCTGTTGGTGGGCCTGGCACTGTTATGACTGACACTGTTGGTGAGTGACCTGTTGGTGGGCTGACACTATTGGTAGAGCTGACACTGTTGATTGAGACTGCACTATTGGTAGACTGACACTGTTGGTGGGTGGCACTATTGGTGACTGACACTATTGGTGGGCTGACACTGTTGGTAGACTGGCACTGTTGGTAGACTGACACTGTTGGTAGACTGCACTGTTGGTTGACTGACACTGTTGGTAGGCTGACACTGTTGGTGGGGCTGACTGTTCTTGGTAAGCTGACACTGTTGGTAGACTGGCACTGTGGGTGGTCTGCACTGTTGGTAGACGGCACTGTGTGAGTGGACTGACACTGTTGGTGAACTGACACTGTTGGTGGGCTGGCACTTTTGGTAGACTGACACTATTGGTGGGCTGACACTGTTGGTAGACTGACACTGTTGAAGTGGGCTGACACTATTGGTGGGTGAAGCACTATTGGTGGACTGACACTGTTGGTGGAGCTGACACTGTTGGTGAGTGACACTGTTGGTGGGCTGATGGGGACTGACACTGTTGGTGGCACTGTTGGTGGGCGGCACTTTGTTTGTTGGGCTGCGCTGTGGTAGGCTGGCACTGTTAGACTGACACTGTTGGTGGGCGGCTGTTGGGCTGTTGGGCGGCGCTGTGGTGGTATTTTGTTGGTGGGCCTGGTATTGGTAGACTGGCACTGTGGTGGGCTGGCACTGTTGTGGGCGGGCTGACGTGTTGGAAACACTGTTGGTAGATTGACGCGTGGTAGGCTGACACTGTTGGTGGGCTGACACTGTTGGGCTGGGCTGTTGGTGGGCTGAGCGTGGTGGGCCGGCTTTGGTGAGCTGACCTTTGTTGGTGAGGCACTGTTGGTAGGCTGACACTGTGGTGAGCTGACATATTGGTGGTGGCCACTGTGGTAGGCTGACTGTTGGTGAGCGCAGCACTGTTGGTGGGCCTGTGGTGGGCTGACACTGTTGGTAGGCTGACTGTGGTGAGTGACACTGTTGGTAGACTGACTGGTGGGCTGTCACTAATGTGGGCACTGTTGGTGTTGGTATTGTTGTTGTTGGTGAGCTGACACTGTTGGTGGGCATATTGGTAGACTGACTGTTGGTGGGCGGCACTTTATTGGTAGAGGTGACACTATTGGTAGGCGGCACTATTGGTAGAGTGACACTATTGGTAGGCTGGCTTTTTATTGGTGGGCCGGCACTGTTGTGGGCGGACTGTGGTAGAGTGACACTATTGGTAGACGGCATATGGTGGTGACTGAGGCTGACACTGTGGTAGACGTGACTGTTGGTGGGCGGCACTATTGGTAAGCTGACACTGTTGGGTGACGCTGTGGGCCCGGCACTATTGGTGGGCTGACACTGTGGTAGGACTGACACTGTGGTAGTGACGCTAGTGGGCGGCACTATTGGTGGGCGACACTGTTGGTGGGCGGGCACTGTTGGTGGGCGGCACTAATGGTAGACTGACACTGTTGATGGGCGGCACTGTTGTTGGCTGACTGTTGGTAGGCTGTGCTGTTGGTGGGCTGCACTGTGGTGGCTGACACTGTGGTAGGCTGACACTGTTGGTGGTGGCACTGTTGGTAGGCTGACACTGTTGGTGACCCGGCACTATTGGTAGACTGACACTGTGGTGACTGTTGGTAGGTGACACTATTGGTGGGCTATTGGTGGGCTGACGCACTGTTGGTGAACTGACTGTTGGTAGACGTATTTCTTGGTGGAGGCACTATTGGTAGACTGACACTGTTGGTAGACTTGACTTTTTGGTGAAGACTTTTGGTAGGGCTATTGGTGGGCTGACACTATTGGTAGACTGACACTATTGGTGGGCTGGCACTTTGTTGGCGGGCTGACTGTTGGTGAACTGGCACTGTTGGTAGACGCGCTGTTGGTAGACTGACCTCTGTGGTGAGCTGACACTGTTGGTGAATGACACTATTGGTAGACTGACACTGTGGTGGGCGGCACTATTGGTAGGCTGACTGTTGGTAGGGCGGCACTGTGGTAGGGGCCTGTGCATGGGCGGCCTGTTGGGGGCTGACACTATTGGTGGACTGCTGTGGTAAGACTGACACTGTTGGTGAGCTGCACTGTTGGTGGGCGGCACTGGTGATGACACTGTGGGCGGCACTGTGGTGGGCTGACTGTTGGTGGAGCTGGCACTGTGGTGGGCTGACACTGTTGGTGGGCAGGCACTGTGGTGGGCGGCACTGTTGGTGGGCGGCTGACTGTGGTAGGCCGGCACTGTGGGCGGCACTGTGGTGGGCTGACACTGTTGGTGAGCTGGCACTGTGGTGGGCGGCACTGTTGGTGGCCTGGCACTGTTGGTGGACTGACTGTGTGGGCGGCACTGTGTGGGCTGACACTGTTGGTGGGCTGACGCTGTTGGTGGGCTGACACTGTTGTTGACTGACGCTGTTGGAGACTGACTGTTGGTGGGCTGTTGGGGCTGGACGGGACTGTTGGGCTGTTGGGCTGACTTGTTGGTGGGCGGCACTGTGGTAGACTGGCACTGTTGGTAGGCTGGCACTGTTGTAGGCAGTACTGTTGGTGGGCGGCACTGTTGGTAGACTGGCTGTTGGTGGGCGGCACTGTGGTGGGACTGCACTGTGGGGGCGGCACTGTTGGTGGGCGGCACTATTGTTGAGCTGACACTGTTGGTGGAGCTGACACTATTGGTTGGCGGCTGACACTGTTTGGTAGACTGACTTTGTTGAGACTGACACTATGTGGGGAGGGCGGCACTGTTGGTAGGAGCTGATACTGTTGGTGGGCGTCCTGTTGGTGGACTGATTACTGTTGGTGGACTGTTGGTGGGCTGACACTTTGGGCGTCACTGTGGTAGCACTGTTGTTGAGGCATATTGTTGGGCGGCACTGTTGGTAGAGTGGCACTGTTGGGCTGACACTGTTGGAGCTGCAGTAGACTGACACTGTGGTGGAGCTGACACTGTTGGTGGGAAGACTGCCCTGTTGGGAGACTGAGCACTGTTGGTGAATGACACTGTTGGTGGACTGATGCTGTTGGTGGGCTGACGCTGTTGGTGGGCTGGCTCTGTTGGTGGTGGGGGATGGACGGGCTGTTGGGGCTGGTGACTGTTGGGCTTTGTTGGGCTGGACTGACTGTGGTAGGCGGCACTGTTGGTAGGCGGCACTGTGGTAGGCTGGCACTGTTGGTAGGCGGCACTGTGGTAGGCTGCTGTGGTGGGCTGTACTGTGTGGGCGGCACTGTGGTGACTGACACTGTTGTGGGTGTGTTGGAGGGACTGACACTTTATTGGTGGGCCGGCACTGTTGGTGAGCTGGGCACTGTTGGTGGGCGGCACTGTGGTGGGCCTTGTGGTGGGCTGACACTGTTGGTGGGCTGACGCTGTTGGTGGGCTGACTGGTGGGGCACTGTTGTTGGGGCACTTGGTGGGCGGGCTGACTGTTGGACTGTTGGTGGACTGTTGGTGGACTGGGGGGCACTGTGTTAGGGCCAGCACTGTTGGGGACTGGCACTTGGTGGGCGGCACTGTGGTAGGCGTGCTGTTGGTGGGCAGTACTGTTGGTAGGCTGACACTGTTGGTGGACTGGCACTGTGGTAGGCTGCACTGTTGGAAGGCGGCACTGTGGGCGGCACTGTGGTGGGGCTGGCACTGTGGTGGACTGACACTGTTGGTGGGCTGACGCTAGTGGAGGGCTGCACTATTGGTGGGCTGGCCTGTGTGGTGGGCGGCTGTTGGGCTGACTGTGGACTGTTGGGGACTGACTGTGGTGGTGCTGACTGTTGGTGGACTGACACTGTTATTGAACTTGGTGCTATGGTAGGCTGACACTGGTAGGCTGGCACTGTTGGTAGACTGGCACTGTTGGTAGGGCTGGCACTGTGGGGCGGCACTTTGTTGGTGGGCTGGCACTGTGGTGGCTGTTGGTGGGCGGCACTGTTGGTGGGCTGCACTGTTGGTGGGCGGCTGTGTGGGCTGGCACTGATTGGTAGACTGACTGTTGGTGAGCTGGCACTGTGGTGGGCTGTGCATTGGTGGGCTGACACTGTTGGTGGGCTGACACTGTTGGGCTGAGCTGTTGGTGGTACTGTTGGTAGGCGGCACTGTTGGTGGGCTGACACTATTGGTGAGCGGCACTGGTTGGGGCTGACACTAATGGTAGACTGACACTATTGATAGACTGACACTATTGGTAGACTGACACTAATGGTAGACTGACACTATTGGTAGACTGACACTAATGGTAGATTGACACTATTGGTAGAGTGACACTATTGGTAGACTGACACTAATGGTAGACTGACACTATTGATAGACTGACACTATTGGTAGACTGACACTAATGGTAGACTGACACTATTGGTAGACTGACACTAATGGTAGACTGACACTATTGGTTGACTGACACTATTGGTAGACTGACACTATTGGTAGAGTGACACTAATGGTAGACTGACACTATTGGTAGACTGACACTATTGGTAGACTGACACTATTGGTAGACTGACACTAATGGTAGACTGACACTATTGGTAGACTGACACTATTGGTAGACTGACACTAATGGTAGACTGACACTATTGGTAGACTGACACTATTGGTAGACTGACACTAATGGTAGACTGACACTATTGGTAGACTGACACTATTGGTAGACTGACACTATTGGTAGACTGACACTAATGGTAGACTGACACTATTGGTAGACTGACACTATTGGTAGACTGACACAATTGGTAGACTGACACTATTGGTAGACTGACACTGTTGGTAGACTGACACTATTGGTAGACTGACACTACTGGTAGACTGACACTATTGGTAGACTGACATTATTGGTAGACTGACACTAATGGTAGACTGACACTATTGGTAGACTGACACTATTGGTAGACTGACACTATTGGTAGACTGACACTATTGGTAGACTGACACTATTGGTAGACTGACACTATTGGTAGACTGACACTATTGGTAGACTGACACTATTGGTAGAGTGACACTATTGGTAGACTGACACTATTGGTAGACTGACACTATTGGTAGACTGACACTATTGGTAGACTGACACTATTGATAGACTGACACTATTGGTAGACTGACACTATTGGTAGACTGACACTATGGTAAACTGACACTATTGGTAGACTGACACTATTGATAGACTGACACTATTGATAGACTGACACTATTGGTAGACTGACACTATTGGTAGACTGACACTATTGGTAGACTGACACTATTGGTAGACTGACACTATTGGTAGACTGATACTATTGGTAGACTGATACTATTGGTAGACTGATATTATTGGTAAGACTGACACTATTGGTAGACTGACACTATTGGTAGTCTGACACTATTAGTAAGACTGACACTATTGGTAGACTGACACCATTAGAAAGACTAACACTAGTAAACTGACACTATTAGTAAGACTGACACTATTGGTAAGAGTGATACTATTGGTAGACTGACACTATTGGTAGACTGACACTATTGGTAGACTGACACTATTAGTAAGACTCTCACTATTGGTAGAATGACACTATTGGTAGACTGACAGTATTGGTTGACTGACACTATTGGTAAGACGGACACTATTGGTAGACTGACACTATTGGTAGACTGACACTATTGATAGACTGACACTTTTAGTAAGACTGACTTTATTGGTAGGGCACATGGTACTTCTGTTAGTGAGACTGACACTGTTGTTGGGCCACGGCTTTCATGGTAGAGTGACACTATTGGTAAGACTGACACTATTGGTAGACTGACACTATTGGTAAGACTGACACTATTGGTAAGACTGATACTATTGGTAGACTGATACTATTGGTAGACTGACACTATTGGTAGACTGACACTATTGGTAGACTGATACTATTGGTAAGACTGACACTATTGGTAGACTGATACTATTGGTAAGACTGATACTATTGGTAAGACTGACACTATTAGTAAGACTGACACTATTAGTAAGACCGACACTATAAGCAAGACAAACAGCCAAATTATACAACAGTCGAAAGTCTACCAGAGAAATGAGGCAGTAAAGACTTATTTACACGCTCGTAAACCTTAGAGTAAGAGGGACACACACACAGGCACCACCAAACACAGAAAGTGGTGACCAGCAATGGGAGGGATAGGGTGGGAGATGGTGGTGATTGGATGAGGAATGGTGGTGATGGGGCTGGGGATGGTGGTGATGGGGCGGGGGATGGTGGTGATGGGGAAATGTGGTTGTAGAGGGGGAGTAGTGAAGAGTGAAAGTGATCGTTAGAGACTGTGGTAGTTGCTATGGTGTAGGGGCTGTAATGGTGGTATATATATATATATATATATATATATATATATATATATATATATATATATATATATATATATATATATATATATATATATATGTAATATTCAGAAATTTCAGAGTAATTTCAAATGTCCCGCCATTAGCGATACTGAGCGTTCAAGGTCGTCTGAGGGAAGAGAGCGCTCCCCGCCCATAGCGAGAGGTTATGGAACTAGGCCTAAGTGATATTAAATGTAATTTGCCGAATTAATAATGATGCGATTCATGAAGTTAAGGGACTATTATTGAATTTGAAATTATTATAGATCGTTTATCAGTCTGAATAATGTTACGGGTGTCCCAAGGAGTTATTAGTTAGGCGGAAAATATGTCACGTAGGCCTAAGCTAACGCCTTGAGAGGAGACGCGACGCTGGCTGGTCCTCAGTCACGGGGAGCATTGAGACAAACAAGACGTCCCTGCGCGTCCTTCACAGAAATAGTCACGTGGCCTAGTCACCCCCT